ACCATTGGTTGCTGAAGGTGCTGTAATTATCGTGAGATGTACATCATTGGTTGCTGAAGGCGCTGTAATTATTGTGAGATGTACACCATTGGTTGGTGAAGGTGCTGTAATTATTGTGAGATGTACACCATTGGTTGGTGAAGGTGCTGTAATTATAGTGATATGTACACCATTGCTGGCTGAAGGTGTTGTAATTATTGTGAGATGTACACCATTGGTTGCTGAAGGTGCTGTAATTATCGTGAGATGTACACCATTGGTTGCTGAAGGTGTTGTAATTAGCGTGAGATGTTCACCATTGGTTGTTGAAGATGTTGTAATTATCGTGAGATGCACACCATTGGTTGCTGAAGGTGCTGTAATTATAGTGAGATGTACACCATTGGTTGCTGAAGGTGCTGTAATTATAGTGAGATGTTCACCATTGGTTGCTGAAGGTGTTGTAATTAGCGTGAGATGTTCACCATTGGTTGTTGATTGTAATTATCGTGAGATGTACACCATTGGTTGCTGAAGGTGCTGTAATTATTGTGATATGTACACCATTGGTTGCTGAAGATGTTGTAATTATCGTAAGATGTACACCATTGGTTGCTGAAGGTGCTGTAATTATCGTGAGATGTACACCATTGTTGCTGAAGGCGCTGTAATTATAGTGAGATGTACACCATTGGTTGCTGAAGGTGATGTAATTAGCGTGAGATGTTCACCATTGGTTGCTGAAGGTGCTGTAATTATCGTGAGATGTACACCATTGGTTGCTGAAGGAGCTGTAATTATAGTGAGATGTACACCATTGGTTGCTGAAGGTGATGTAATTAGCGTGAGATGTACACCATTGGTTGCTGAAGGCGCTGTAATTATAGTGAGATGTACACCATTGGTTGCTGAAGGCGCTGTAATTATAGTGAGATGTACACCATTGGTTGCTGAAGGTGCTGTAATTATTGTGAGATGTACACTATTGGTTGCTGAATGGCATTTTCAATTATTTTTAATGAAGATAATTTTCCCTCAGTATGACGAGTTCGCTGGTTGTTATACATGGTGCCTTACCTACTTTAACAATGAAGCTCACGTGCTATTTTCTGATTGTGATGTCCTAAATGAGAGATCGGTGAACTTGGGAGTTGTTTTTATGACGAGACCGTCGGAATTTTACGACAGTTGTTTATAACAAACAATGATTTCATTATTAAAACAACTAATGATGGTAATTGATATTAATTTGTAATAAATATATTCACTGATTGTCGATAGCTACTGGCGAAGAGACAACATATTCCACTGTGTAAATATTTATATATATAATATCACGTCTTATAGCAGTACAACAGAAGAAACCACATTTTATCGTAAATGTGATGTCGTCTGTATTACTCAAGCCTTTTGTTGTGACTTATCCGAGTTATGACCGAGATATTGACATTCTGTTTATGAAATCGAATAACAATACTATGTCATAAAATCAGTCAAATTTCTCACTGATTGAATAAATCAGCATGTCAATTTACATCCACTCATGGCAGATTGAGTTAGTCCAACTTTATGATGCACTTGACAATAAAAGAACGTACACAAATAGGATATTTCGGACAGAAAGGTAGTAAAATTCCCATATTCAGATGGATATTTAGACGTCCTTGTTGAATTCTAAATTGCCTGAAGTGTATTTGGCTTTCAGTGTTTTTACTGGAAATTACATACTAGAATTTCACAATTGTACAGAATAAAGAAGCTTGCTTACGAAAAAAGGTGGTTTATTATCGTTGATATCCAAAAGCGAGTATAGGAAATGGATTCTTTTAGTGCAATCACGTGCGTTCACTTCTATCAAAATTAATGAATAAAGGACTGGGCCCCAGACAAAGAAGTGGTTTAAGGACCAACTTATTATGGGCGGCTGCCCAACGTGAAGTGCTTAACTTAGTTTAATATGACAAATTCTGTTTTCCAGAGGAAACATATCACCAAGAATATCATACGGCCACGACTACCTAAGAACTGACGTCTTTGTACAATCAATTTACTCTAGAAATGTACATTTTATGACAAAGACATGCATTATTATAGTCTGTGCTCTTTAGCTGTCAAGAATGCGTGTGAATGGTGTGATGACAACACATTGTTTTCTGTCTGGTTAGTTGGATAGCGTCACGAGACTGTTTCGAATATGTCAAAATCCAGTTTTTTAAAATATTAATTGAACAAAAATTGTTTTAACTGTTTCATGTCTCTTGACTCCTTTAATTGACTGATATGTACGTAAGTGCACTTTGACAAGTAAAAGTCAACACGATAAAATGTAAAATTGTCTTCGGTGTTTGTATTCAGTAAGTGTGATTTTCTAATCGCGTATTTGCCCATGATGTTCGGTAAGTAACAGCCACAGAAAAAAAAATCAATGTTTGATGTAATTGTTTTATATCAACTGTTTTGTTCCCTCACATATCTCCTTTCAAAGCCGATTTTGTCGTCAAACAGACACAAGCACGCCTTATATTTGCGTTATGCTTCATAAAACACATTTCGGCATCACAATACAACTATTGAATGGTACCGAGACTACAGAAAAGGGCCCAAAGCATTAGCTGTGACAATATTTGTATAGAAAAAAGTTCTATATGCAAGATATTTTATGGAGATGCAGGTTGACGAAGAATATGACTGTTATAAGGATTTAATTGGGAAACATTTCATGTCCTTGTGCGATATGAAGTTGGACGTGATGTGTGCTCGTTAATGTGCTGGATGTTTCCGATATTCTTTACATTGTTCTCATTTGGGAAAGAAGCATTTGTTACTTGGAATGACCAAGATATATATGATGGGTGTCGGAAAGGAAGCAGAAGACGCTTACCCTTCCGGAAATCCTGGTCTTATTCTCAGTGTACGTTTTCGGGAGTTACCAGGAGTAAACATTTCCTTTGTTCATATCTTGCCTTAGCTTCATCGATTTGGATGTTGAATGAAGATTTTGTTTGTCGGTATGGTCTTTGTTGTAATGATGTAAAATGGTATGTTTAATAGGCGTTCTTCTCATAACACGGGGTTACATAATGTTCATGTCATTCATACTTCATTTTGTTTATTATATGATGAGAGGGAGGTGATAAAATTGTCAGTATTATTTTTTCTAGTGTTATCATGAAGCCTATGGAATCTGTTTAACCTTGGAAGTTTCTTGTCGTTAGAGAATACTTGGCACGAACATTGAAACCACATGTATGTGTAATTACTGGCTGGGTTAACATGCTATATACGCACTTTAGTGGAATCGTGTAATTTTGTTCAGCATTAGCAACGGTATTCCATTCTCTTCCTGGTGTTCTGTAGCTATAACAAGTTTTTATTTCCTTTGTCACAAGTCTTTTATATTCTAGGTTTCCATGTTGTTTAGGTTTTTCATTTTCTTCTCTTTATGATATCAGGCTTAGATAGTGCTAAAGTGTTTACTCAACACGGAATATTTTCTAAAAACTGCGGAATGAACGCTTTTACGACGCACTGGTGTTGTTAACTCCACATGATGTACATTGTCTTTGCTATCCGACAGAATAGTGACAAGTTTTAGAGATAAATGCAACCTGCCCTCACATCTTCGGATTTAAAAATTCTACTGGATTCTTCTGGATTTTACATAAGTAGCTATTTTAGATGTCATGTGTAGCGATGACATCTCAAAGACAAGCTTTAAAACAAAGCGCCCAAATGAACATATTTTGAAACAGTAAAAATATTTATTGCATAATGAAAAGGAAGAGATATTCTTCAAAATAATACGCAATGCAAGGTAACTGGTAAATGATATTAAAGATCTACAAATGAAGGGAAAATTAGAGATATTTTAGAAATCCTGCAATACTTGGAAGTTTTTCAAACCGAGCGTAAATACAGAATACAAAAAAGGGGTATGTCATCGTGACCGAACACAAGTAAAGGGAGAGTCAGGATTACCGAATACAGATTAAGGGGTATTGACAATTTTTACAAAATTATGAAATCCTACTTTGAAATAATATATCTTTGTACATTAACTTAAACAAACTTAATTCAAGCCATATTTCTTCAGTGTTATGATATTTCCTACAAAGTATTACATAGCAGAGATTTCGCAATTTTCCAAACATAAGAATATGAATATTAAGCGGTATTTCAGGAGGCGACATTCGTGCATGATTTAACATGGTACGATTATCATGTAGTCACATTAATATTCAAGTAAATTGAGAGTAAACAACGACAAATGCTGTTCTGGTAACAAACACAGAATTCGAGTCAAACCTTTTTACAATTACCATTCTTTAATCTTCCCATACCAACTACTGATACATCTCTTCAGTTCTTCAAGATAAAACGGTTTCCATCGTAATCTTACGTACCGATTGCTGGATGTTCCGATTTAAGAAGAATATTTCCAAATAAGTTACAGAATCCGCCCAAGTAATTGTGTATTATCGTTAGTCCGGATAATTTTCGATCCAATCAGGTGAAATGGGGGCTATGTAATTGGCCGCGACATCTCAACTCGTTTGTTTTAACGACGCCGCTAGTACAAACGATATTGAAAATAAAACGCAACTTGAAATAATTTTTAAACATGTTTAGATTATAGGATTTTAGAAACAAGTAAAATTCTTGTTCATTTCAATTCTGATAAAGAAACCTAAAAGCTTTGTTTTATTTCTTTTCTGACCTTTTTCCGGGTTGTTATATTTTTTCCCTGTTTCCTATCGGTGTTGTTGTTTCCGCCTTTTCCTGTTTGTGCGTTGTTTTGTTGTTTCTCCCATTTCCTGTCTGTGCGTTGTTCTGTTCCTTCTCCCATTTCCTGTCTGTGCGTTGTGCTGTTCTCTCTCCCATTTCCTGTCTGTGCGTTGTGCTGTTCTCTTTCCCATTTCCTGTCTGTGCGTTTCCCTGCTGTTTCTCCCATTTCCTGTCTGTGCGTTTCCCTGCTTTTTCTCCCATTTCCTGTCTATGCGTGTTCTGTTCCTTCTCCTATTTCATGTCGGTGCGATGTTTTGTTGTTTCTCCCATTTCCTGTCTGTGCGTTTCCCTGCTTTTTCTCCCATTTCCTGTCTGTGCGTTGTTCTGTTCCTTCTCCCATTTCCTGTCTGTGCGTTTCCCTGCTTTTTCTCCCATTTCCTGTCTATGCCTTTCCCTGCTGTTTCTCCCATTTCCTGTCTGTGCGTTTCCCTGCTGTTTCTCCCATTTCCTGTCTGTGCGTTTCCCTGCTGTTTCTCCCATTTCCTGTCTGTGCGTTTCCCTGCTGTTTCTTCCATTTCCTGTCTGTGCGTTTCCCTGCTTTTTCTCCCATTTCCTGTCTGTGCGTTGTCCCTGCTGTTTTCTCCCATTTCCTGTCTGTGCGTTTCCTGTTCTGTTCCCCTGCTCTCCCATTTCCTGTCTGTGCGTTTCCCTGCTTTTTCTCCCATTTCCTGTCTGTGCGTTTCCCTGCATTTTCTCCCATTTCCTGTCTGTGCGTTTCCCTGCTGTTTCTTCCATTTCCTGTCTGTGCGTTTCCCTGCTGTTTCTTCCATTTCCTGTCTGTGCGTTTTACTGTTCCTTCTCCCATTTCCTGTCTGTGCGTTTTCCCCATTTTTTCTCCCATTTCCTGTCTGTGCGTTTCCCTGCTTTTTCTCCCATTTCCTGTCTGTGCGTTTTTCTGTTCCTTCTCCCATTTCCTGTCTGTGCGTTTCCCTGCTGTTTCTCCCATTTCCTGTCTGTGCGTTTCCCTGCTTTTTCTCCCATTTCCTGTCTGTGCGTTTCCCTGCTTTTTCTCCCATTTCCTGTCTGTGCGTTGTTCTGTTCCTTCTCCCATTTCCTGTCTGTGCGTTGTTCTGTTCCTTCTCCCATTTCCTGTCTGTGCGTTGTTCTGTTCCTTCTCCCATTTCCTGTCTGTGCGTTGTTCTGTTCCTTCTCCCATTTCCTGTCTGTGCGTTTCCCTGCTGTTTCTCCCATTTCCTGTCTGTGCGTTTCCCTGCTTTTTCTCCCATTTCCTGTCTGTGCGTTGTTCTGTTCCTTCTCCCATTTCCTGTCTGTGCGTTTCCCTGCTGTTTCTCCCATTTCCTGTCTGTGCGTTTCCCTGCTGTTTCTCCCATTTCCTGTCTATGCGTTTTCCTGCTGTTTCTCCGACTTCCTGCCTACGTATTGATCTGTTGTTTCATCTGTTTCCTGTCTGTGTGATGATCTGTTGTTTTACCCATTTCCTGTCTGTTCGTTGTGCTGTTCTCTCTCCCATTTCCTGTCTGTGCGTTGTTCTGTTCCTTCTCCCATTTCCTGTCTGTGCGTTTCCCTGCTGTTTCTCCCATTTCCTGTCTATGCGTTTTCCTGCCGTTTCTCCGACTTCCTGCCTACGTATTGATTTGTTGTTTCATCTGTTTCCTGTCTGTGTGATGATCTGTTGTTTTACCCATTTCCTGTCTGTTCGTTGTGCTGTTCTCTCTCCCATTTCCTGTCGGTGCGATGTTCTGTTCTCTCTCCTATTTCCTGTCAGTGCGTTGTGCTTTTCTCTCTCCCATTTCCTGTCTGTGCGTAATTCTGTTGTTTTACCCGTTTCCTGTAGTTCAGGATTCGGTGAGCGAAACAAATGCTTTTACTGTACATTGTAGTTTAAGGTATCTTACACGTAATTTATTGGAATAACTCAAAGGGTGTACACTGGAAAACGAATATTCCGTTATCAAAAGTTGAGCATATTTTGCTACTGTGCATGTCACTAGAAAGTATCATAATGGAACTACGTTTGTCATATTTAGATAAATAAAACTCATATAAAATATTTTAACCAAAGTCGACGCAAGGAATCTAAACAATAAACGAACATTAAAAAAGATAATAATGATTAAAATTTCATTAATACTGACTGACGATCCATGTAAACAGACCTGTCTACACATGGTGAACTTCAGTTTATATATAAGGAATTAATCATAATACAACATATTGTGATTCTATCTGTTGGTGATTTAAATCGACTATGTTTGATACTTTCTAGTTTGTAGGTAGCTAGAAGCGCATTGAACTAGAATTCGGATTCAATAATACTCCTTTCTGTCTAAATAAAAGCATTCCGACACTGTACGGCTTGATCTGTAGAAAGGATTTTGTATAATATGAAACTTATCTATTGTTGTTTAGACACGATGATTGGATTTGTGTTACGATAGCTGTTTTAATATTAAGTGCCTTCAGCTAAAATGATCAAATTAGACAATACCATTTTTCTTATGAGATGGCATTAACCAACGAAAGCAATACAATTATACATTAAAGCTATAGTAGAGATTTAAACGATATTCACTAAGAACCCTTTATTACGCAGCTGATTCAAATGTAGTCCCTGCTGGCAAAGGCGCTTGAACGTGTCCCTCATCAGGCACCGCGGATATAATGAGATCCGTGTCCACTGGAGAACCACAAGGGACTCCGTCTTGTCGTGAAGGCGGACATGAATTAATAGATAATGCCAACAGTGAAGACCTTTCTCAAATGGATTTTTCTTAAAACTACATTTTTTGACGTTGAATTAATCGATGTGATTTTTATTTGGAATGCATTTAACGAAAGCAATCTGAAAACGCTTTAAGTCTGACTCATAAAGGTTTGTTGAATGAAAACACCACGTACCAAACAAACCAACAATTTCAAAACAACAAAGTTCATATAAAACTTCCCATATACCTTTCTACTTAACACTATATAATACATGTGATGGTGTATTATAACGTAATTCTGTTAGTTTCTTATGTAGTGTGTCTGTTGATGTCGTATGTAGTGTGTCTGTTGGTGTCGTATGTAGTGTGTTTGTTGGTGTCGTATGTAGTGTGTCTGTTGAAGTCGTATGTAGTGTATCTGTTGGTGTCGTATGTAGTGTGTCTGTTGGTGTCGTATGTAGTGTGTCTGTTGATGTCGTATGTAGTGTGTCTGTTGGTGTCGTATGTAGTATGTCTGTTGATGTCGTATGTAGTGTGTCTGTTGATGTCGTATGTAGTGTGTCTGTTGGTGTCGTATGTAGTGTGTCTGTTGATGTCGTATGTAGTGTGTCTGTTGGTGTCGTATGTAGTGTGTCGTATGTATGTAGTGTGTCTGTTGGTGTCGTATGTAGTGTGTCTGTTGGTGTCGTATGTAGTGTGTCTGTTGGTGTCGTATGTAGTGTGTCTGTTGGTGTCGTATGTAGTGTGTCTGTTGGTGTCGTATGTAGTGTGTTTGTTGGTGTCGTATGTAGTGTGTCTGTTGAAGTCGTATGTAGTGTATCTGTTGGTGTCGTATGTAGTGTGTCTGTTGGTGTCGTATGTAGTGTGTCTGTATGTAGTGTGTCTGTTGAAGTCGTATGTAGTGTGTCTGTTGGTGTCGTATGTAGTATGTCTGTTGATGTCGTATGTAGTGTATCTGTTGGTGTCGTATGTAGTGTGTCTGTTGGTGTCGTATGTAGTGTGTCTGTTGGTGTCGTATGTAGTGTGTCTGTTGGTGTCGTATGTAGTGTGTCTGTTGGTGTCGTATGTAGTGTGTCTGTTGGTGTCGTATGTAGTGTGTCTGTTGATGTCGTATGTAGTGTGTCTGTTGGTGTCGTATGTAGTGTGTCTGTTGGTGTCGTATGTAGTGTGTCTGTTGGTGTCGTATGTAGTGTGTCTGTTGGTGTCGTATGTAGTGTGTCTGTTGGTGTCGTATGTAGTGTGTCTGTTGATGTCGTATGTAGTGTGTCTGTTGAAGTCGTATGTAGTGTGTCTGTTGAAGTCGTATGTAGTGTGTCTGTTGGTGTCGTATGTAGTATGTCTGTTGATGTCGTATGTAGTGTGTCTGTTGGTGTCGTATGTAGTGTGTCTGTTGGTGTCGTATGTAGTGTGTCTGTTGGTGTCGTATGTAGTGTGTCTGTTGATGTCGTATGTAGTGTGTCTGTTGGTGTCGTATGTAGTGTGTCTGTTGATGTCGTATGTAGTATGTCTGTTGAAGTCGTATGTAGTGTGTCTGTTGGTGTCGTATGTAGTGTGTCTGTTGGTGTCGTATGTAGTGTGTCTGTTGGTGTTGTATGTAGTATGTCTGTTGGTGTCGTATGTAGTGTGTCTGTTGGTGTCGTATGTAGTGTGTCTGTTGATGCCGTATGTAGATTAGAGAGTAGTGTCTTAATGACTGTCATCAGATTAGAGAGTAGTGTCTTAATGACTGTCATCATATTAGAGAGTAGTGTCTTAATGACTGTCATCATATTAGAGAGTAGTGTCTTAATGACTGTCATCAGATTTTATAGTAGTGTCTTAATGACTGTCATCAGATTAGATAGTAGTGTTTTAATGACTGATTAGATAAACCTCACCTTACCCTCGTTCTCCTCCTTGGATTCCTTTAAGTAGACATTGTTTGAAAGATGTTGGATCATAAATCATACATTTTATTGTATATCAAAGTCATTGATGTAGAAACTTTTACCAGTAAACATGTGTACTCTCTTGTTACAGATTGGTTCTAGAGAAGTTTCTTTAAAAACAAATCCATATGTTATAGACCCTGCATAGCCAATATCACCATGGTGATGAACAGTGGACGAAAATACAAAACAACAACATCTGATGCATTGTGAAATGTCTGTAAAACAACTACATTTCTGAGAAAACACATGGGGCAGGGTAGCACCTCGCTGGTTAATTATATTGTCAAAGTGACCAATGCTTGTCCATTACTGACCCCTGAATGAGTCGCTGTTGTTGGGGACGAGAATTAAATCTGGCCTTGGAATGTCACCCCAAGTGTCTGCGCCGCGTAATTACACCAATATATCCTTGCCACATGGTCGATAAGGGCCCAGACCGCCCCGTCGGAATGCCCGGCGAATAGGGGCCGCTGACACTTAATTGATTGTGGTGGATTTATCGTAATACTCAAGTCCCGTATAACAGTCAATAACGCTACGCAACATAGTGCCACTGCCTGTCCTGACACGTAATCCTTCTCCAATGCTAAGCAAATTAAATCCAAGACAGTTTACAATTACACTTTTTTAGGAAATCGAACAAAGCATTTCAAATAAAAACGTTTCCTAATACAGGAAGCAATGAAACCGGACATGTTTTACTTATAATAGAAGAAAAAACAATACAAGCAGGCGCGAGACACAGTGAAGGAGAGAGAGAGAGAGAGAGAGAGAGAGAGAGAGAGAGAGAGAGAGAGCGGGGGGGTATAACATCTGTTAAGGAACGTGGAATTTCAGATGTCTTTCGATCAGAAGCAAATGAAAGCGATGTATTTATACGAAATGATATCATAGAGACTGACAACTCTAAAGACGCCTATTTTATTATCTGCGCGTGCCAAACAAATATGTCCCCTTTTCAAATCACATGATCTTGTATGAAAAATGTCTTCTTTTAAGTCTTTTAGAAGTGTACATATATGTCACCTCCGTGTCATACACTTTATCGTGAGCGCCACATCATCTTTGTTGATGAATACGTTAAACTTGCTGCCCTCACAGCACACACGGGCTTCGTACGTCACAAAAGTCTCGTTTGACGTCACTACCGTTTGGCCGTGGTGGATACATCTTGTAGCTATTTTGGTCCTTGGCTGAAATGAACACAAAGAATAGTTTTAGTACAGATGCATATATGAATTCCACACGTGCAACCCTAGCTGAATAAGACATAGACCCATATATTTCTGCCGAGCAGCACACCATACGTATCAAAAACCTATGGCATATCATGTTATTATTCTGAAAAAGGAATCATTTTCATAAGGCATGTCAGTGATTCCAGCGGCTTGAAGTGTGGGAATTTGGAAGACTACCAAGGAACATGGTACGAAAATGCTCTTCCAACGAACAAAAATAATGTAAAATAGAGTGTTTATTGTTGAGAGTCCCAGCTCTACTTGTGGACAAGAACTGTATCATGTACGATGCCTTGACATGGTCAGATGTGATCAGTTGTTAGTGAGAGACATATAACCATCCACCTTCAGAAATAAAAATAAGTGACATTGGTGCTATAAATCCTTCCTGTAGATGTGGATCCCGTTAAATTGATGTCGGATATCTGTTTTCTGTCTTTAGGTCAATTGATACGTGTTCTGATCGGCACCAGAGTGAAAGGTATTAGAGCAATAAAATCGGATGTGATTGTTACATGCGATTTGTAAATCATTATGGCACGGTGTTCTCAAACTACGCGACAATAAGAGAGTTCGGTGATGATAATGACGTTAAGGCTTGTCTGATTAGTTCTGTGGTTCGTTTTGAAGAGTGGAACAATAAATCTTCTCAATTTCTTCAGATTATTCGGTAACACTAATGCTTCCCCGTATATCCCGGTCATTCTCTTCGTTGAGTGTTGTTTAAAAAACAAATACAACAACACAGACCTCACCAAAGCTGCTTTATATTCTAAGGTGGTTTCGCAGAGATTCACCTTATGCAGAGACGACGAAGGCTTTTTGATGGCTGTTCCGAGTAATTGGACAAAAACTTCGGATTAAATTGGAAACTTTAGTTTTACAGTCTGGAAATAAAAGCGCCATTAAGCCCCATAGGGAACTTAAACCAAGATGATGGGTCTACGTGCCATTTCTGATGCGGCACAGTCAAGACCGGACTTTCTCAAAGACTAGTCAACTTTTATCCAGAGTTCTCTTAAAAATTGTTACATAGGAGCATTGACTAAGAATCTATTCATTTAAGGGAATAGATTATAATGTTCATAAACAAATAAGAGATTTGAATTAACATGTGTACATAATGGGTGTAACGCCCCGGAACAATGGAGAAAGGTACCCGTGCCTTGGTGACCCGATTCGTCTTGTTTGTTGGTACTAGTTATAGTGTAAACTTGTTCGTACAGGCCACAGTAAAACTCGTTTATCCGCATCTTTATTGACAACTTCATTGTCCCAATCCTCTCATATCATCAGGTATGGTTTACTTTGCGCTTCCGATTGAGGAAAGTGTTACAAAGGAAAAAAGCCTAACATGGCCATTTTGTAGCACATACGATATCTGAAGTACATTTCTTACTTGCGCCTATCTCCAAATTGTCTTTTTGAACATGATTTAATTTGCAAAATTGCATGTTTAAAGTAACGACTATTTTACACTTTTTAAACCTGTAAAGAAATGTATCCTTGCAGACTTTGTTTCACAGATATTGGTTTTGTAAAAGGCATCCTCACTTCTTATTTATTATTTATGTATCAATACATATTTATTTACTATTTATGTATCAATACATATTTATTTATCATTTATGTATCAATACATATTTATTTATTATTTATGTGTCAATACATATTTATTTATCATTTATGTATCAATACATATTTATTTATTATTTATGTATCAATACATATTTATTTATCATTTATGTATCAATACATATTTATTTATTATTTATGTATCGATACTTATTCTCTTTGACTGTTTATCGGATAAAAGTAAAGAATATGTAGAAATAATTCTGGTGAAGCAATGCCAATACGTATGCTAGTTTGGTATTTTAGCTTAATTTTCTTACATAGTCTAGAGTATTGATTAAGATTGCATCGATGATGTCGATGAGAATAGTTATCAATTATTATTACTGAACCTGGTGTCATCCTAATATGGTGTTAAATCACGTTTAATGAATTCTTTATAGTTTTTGAGGTAACAACATTATCAATAGAGTAATAAATATAGCATATTGGCCTGTTGAACACCTAACAAACGTGTTACTCTGAAACGTTAATTTAAAATCCTCTGTTTATATAATATACAAGGATAAAGTATCTTCCTCAGCCCTGTTGCTATGGTATTGTTTCAAGTTAGAACATTCTTTCGGCACTATGTCGTAGAATAGCTATTGCCCAAATAAGGCAGACTTTTTTGTCGCGTAGAAGAAGCATGCTATCCAGTATCATCTATCAAGGACTGAAAATTTAATGTCTCAACATGCCGATGGTATGATCAGCACATGCATGACGGTAATCACTTCCGAAAGCTCGAGCAACCGAAGAGAGTTAGTGTATGTTTTCATTAGCACTGAACAACAGGTGTGAGGCGCGTTCATTATCACGCCCAGCATACTTCGCGAACGTCAGCCCTCAGAGCCTGCTGTTGGCGAAAACCATACATCCTTATTTCAATTTGAAAAACTGGATTAGGTTTAACAATTGGAGGAAACAATTGAAAGCAGGTTAAGCTATTTTTGTGGAGAAAATAGAATTACATTGCATATCAATTTCCTTTATTTGAGTAAATAGCATTCAGTGTGTATTATTGAAACATTCCCCATCCGAGCCAGGTTAGCTTAGCTATTTTTACATAAATGTTGTATATTCCTCTCTAACCCAAGTCGATTCCTATAACATGCCAGAGATAATAAAGATATAGTATCAGTAATCAACAAAATAAAGGACCTTAACAACATGTTTCAGTCGGATGAACTGTCAATTAACATACGCCGCCGTCAATAGAGACATGAAGCAAGCTCGATTTGGCTAACAGAACTTCTATTATCCGCAGAAAGAATACGACCACCCGCACCCTTGCTACCGCCGTCATGCTTTATGTAATTAGGGAAATGGTTCCTTTACCGCTGTTAGTTGTTTTTACTTTTTGAATTTCGACTAGAACCTGCATGCTCTCATGGTAGAAACAGGAAAACGTCATCTCCCTTAACTTAAATTCACCACCATCAATCCCAAACGTGAAATATTGATCCATTTTATCACACCTAGACCAGTTTTTGCTTATTTATTGAATGTAGCATCTGAACCATTGATCTGAAATCATTCATCAAAAACATAAATCGACATTATCTTTTCTATTTCCAGCCTACGTAAATTCTTTTTTGAAAAGCTCAGAGTAAATGGTTATTTAATGGGCCTTGTGAGCGGTTTCAACGACGTGACGGTATGATGTATGGTTTTTCACGTGCTTGAAACATGTTTGGCTTAATAAGTATCTCCAAGATATACGATCTGAAGACTGACGACTGATGTGTACAGTCAGTGGAAGCTATAAAATCTATTGTGACGTAATGGATAGGCGCTGCATATAAGTATTTTCTCAGCCTTTCATTTTTAAGAAAATCTGTGTGCCAGTGAACAGTTTTTAATCTTTCCTTAACATCTGAGGTGAGCCAACTAAATCACCAGTTAATATGGATGATTCTATCTACACTGAGTGCTCAACGTTATATCTACGTCCAAGGAAATACATGTAGCTAAGACTGTATATGTCACGTGACGTGGTACTCGGACACGTTCTGGACGTATTTAATGGCGTGTAAAAGATGATAAACCGCTGACATATCACTTGTAAAAGAGTCCGCTATTTCACTCAAATGCGTTTGTGTGAGTTTTGAGAGTCTGTCCTGGAGACCAGTTTACATTACTTAGTAACATATCTCTATTAGTCATTATGACGGACGTGTACAGATGTTCTGTAGACAACGGTACAACATAGTCAGGGTATTCTATGTGTGTTAACATATGTTTACTATCGTCATTATTATTAGTGATTAATTATCAAGCTATCAACATTGAGTGTACACCATTTATGAAGGGTCTGATGCTGTTTAATTCATTGTTGACTTGTGAAACTTGTTTATAATCTATTAAAATAGCATATGACAGACACTGCTGGTGGACCTGGAGTCGCCGAGGGTTGCCATAACATGCATGTCACGATTAAATTTATCCGAATAGTGGCACGGTTCAGATTATATACGTGTACTTAATGTTGTCCTAAAGTTTTATATGAAAATTACAGATTTATTGAACCATGGGGCTAGTACACCTTCACGTATAGATTTTGACCTTCCCCTTACCATTTTGGAATGTCCTCAGCCGCCACCTAGACTTAAAAATGTAGGCCTTTAGCATCACTGACCAGTGCCAGGAGGACGAAACAGCTGAAGATGAAGCATAATTCATTGTTTGGTACTGTAATATCTTAACTCTAAATTTGTGATATTCTCTTGTTTGTACTTTATGCAATAATTCGCAAATCGTTTCTTACAATCGACGACAACGTATTTTTTATTATATGTTTAACACTAGACACCCAATGTTAAGTTTTGTTTAATTGCTTAACGTTATTTTCATGTCTGTTAGACTGTTGGAGAGAATTTATATTTAATATTGTTCATCCTTGAAAATTTGTTCTATTGGTATAACCCAATCTGCTGGTTTCTTAGTTTTAATTTTAAGGAAATATGATAGAGACATTTTCCCACACCATGTTTAAACTGAGGTAACCACTGTTGAGCATAATATGATTTTACTCTTTGACGGTAAATAATCCAAGACTACCATGCTTGGGACTAATTGGTGAAACAGAGCACAAGATTACCATTCGGGGAAACGAAATGCCAACAGTGGCTTTGATGGCACAGTCACATTGGAGATTAAGTACTTACTGTTCCTAAATTACACACCTCTGTTCAGTCATGGTGGGGAATAATGGATAGATTTGAAAAGTACACCACCGTGGATACTCATTGTACGGAATAACTAGGATTGGTAAATAGGCACACGAAACTGGGGACACTCACTTTGGGGAATGAATATTACTTGTAATTAGACGTATG